TAAGTTTATCTCCGGCCACCACAAAATTACGTCATTTTGTTTATTTATTTCTTTATATTAATTGATTCACCTTTGAATGGTTATGATTCTCTTTTTCTCTCTCTTCCTTTATCACCATTAATCCATCTTTGTAAGATTACGATTTAGTAGTCAGAGATAAAGTTATCTCAAGTTACTTCTTTTATAAGATTTGATGTTTAATATGTTATAAGAGATAAAATTATTTTCTACACATAAATATAAGTGTTGTGAACAGATGAGAGAAAAAAAGAAAGCATGAGTCTCACACAGTTTACGTATATAGGAGATAATAAATAATTTTATCTCCTACAATATGAAAGACATTATATATATAATATATATATATATATATATATATATATATATATATATATAAGCTTTGATGGTTACTATGTTATAAGTGATAAAATTATTTTCTACAGACAAATATAAGTGTGTGGGCCCAAATCAGGCCATGTGAAGAGATGAGAGAAAAAAAATATGGGTCTCACACACTTTTTCGTATATAGAAGATAATAAATAATTTTATCTCCCATAATATGAAATATTATATATATATATACATATATATATATATATATATATAGAGAGGTAGGATCCTTTGACACCGGTGTCAAATTTGAAATTTGACACCTCATCTGAAAGCCATTACATCAAAAAATATCAATGGTGTCACATGCTTACAAATCAGAGACATTGATATTTTTTTATCTAATGGCTCTCAGATGAGGTGTCAAAGGATGCTACCTCATATATATAGGAGTTATCGTTTCTCAAGTTGCTGGACGTCAAGTTAGAAATCATAATCATACATAGGTGGGTAAAAATAATAAATACGAGAAACTTGACGTCCAACAACTTGAGAAACGATAACTCATATATATATATATATATCGCCCATTGCGTGATTTAGATTAAGTTCCAAATATATATATCGCCCATTGCGTGATTTAGATTAAGTTCCAAATCTATAAGAGTTCAACACCTTGGCAAAAGCACCAAATCAAGAACATACGTTTGGCAAAAAATTTACCCAGTCAGACCACGTTTGATATATTTTGTCATAGTAATGTAGTCAAATTTGTAGGTGGGTAATAGGGGTGTTCATCAACCGATCCAAACCGATTCAAACCGCGAAAACCGAACCGAAAAACCGATAACCGAAAATCGAAAATCGGAAATCGAAAGAAAACCGCAAATTTTAATTGGATTGGATCGGTTTTCGGATGGGTTGATGAAAACCGATCCAATATATTAATTATCCTCTACCAACTTGTCTTTTCTCCAATCATAGCCCAAAAATTTCTAAACTCAAGACCCATTAACTCATCAACTAAACTAAAAAAAAAAAACTTAGTCACCTCTCATCAACTATAGTATTGTTTACTGATAATTTTGTATTTCAATTTTTTTTTTACAAAGTCAATATATACAAAAGATGTTATTTGCACAATAATCACGAAACTAATTTTAGGATATTCAAAAAACCGAAAACTGATCCAATCCAAACCGAAAAAAATTGGATTGGATCGGATCGGATTTGAAAAAAAATCTAAACCGAATGAATGATTACATGATCAAATCGAAGGGATTGGATCGGATGAGTTTTACTTCCAAAACCGATCCAATCCAGACCGTGAACACCCATAGTGGGTAGTACAAGATCAATCCCGTATGGATTCATTACATGACTAATGTCCACGTTATTGGAAATGGACACACAAATCGAAAACAATAAAGAGGATACGTCTCTGTTAAGGGAAAAGAGAGTTGGGTTAAAGCAGGAGAGAGCCTCATGACATTAAATGTGCTCTAACTGGACAATTTTTTACCAAATGTTTTTAATGCATTTTTGTCTCAATTAGTGGTGGACCAAAAAAATTATATGAGGGGGCGAAAATAAAGGTGGTTACTCCCCCGTAACATTGCCTCTGCTTCTCGAGCATTCTCTAAGAGCCAATATTTTCTACAGCAACAAGAGCTTCAAGCCTCTCCAACTCACTGAATGCAGCCTTAACCACTTATTTCACAACCTGCATGATATTTGTAAGAATACATTTTCATAACCATAACCCATATATTGCTGTTGGGTATGGCTCATACTTCACATTATGATGTTGGCCCTAATTGTCGGGGTCAGCAGAAAGGCAACTGGGGTCCCGCTTATAGGGTTTCTTGTAATCCTATTTATATTTAGGCCTATGTTTCTATTGTAATTTTCTTAGCAGTTTGGGCTTGAGCCCATGAATAGCTGCTGTTAGGGTTTCTTGTAATCCTATTTATATTTGCCTTGTAAACCGAGAGACTTGTAACGAGTGGTGGTGAGGTGAATATAGTACAGACAAGCTGAACGTAGCCTATATTGGGTAAACCAGGGTAAATCATCGTGTCAATCTCTCTACTCTTATCTCTTTTTCTGTTTTCTCGATTCTGTGTGATTGTCGATTTCCAACAATTGCATCTAAACAAATTAATTTTCTTTGACATTAACTTATGCTTCAAATTCAATTAGTTAAGGCAGGAAGTACAACGTTAACTAATAAATTATTATCTAATGATGTATATGTTATCGTACCATTATAATAATAATAATAATTAACTTTGAATCACATGTCAACACTTGATTAATAAAAAAAAATGCTATATAGATTACATATGGAAATTAAACTGTTACTTTATATGTTCATAGTATAATTATTTCAAGTAAAATTATTCCAAGAGTAATATTAGTTGTGCTAATCTCTCTATTAATTGAAAACTCGTTGAATTATATACATCTTATTTTATTTTCATCCACCAAATGTTTTATACAATTTTTTTTTAAAAGACAATCTTTTTCTACAGTTTCTTATAATAAAATATATTACTTTGCAAGCTTGCATATTACGAAGTATATTCGTTTTTGTTATCTCCTCACATACACTCATGTGATTCCCACGGTCTCCAACCCCTCTACAACATTCTAATGAATTCAAATACCTCACCCACGTATTTTAGGTAGCTACGCGTTTAGTCGCTCACTTGACACATGTATTTCTCACAAATTTGAATACATTTGTACTAAGTATGTGTCTGAACACGTCTGTACCAAGTGCATATTTTGACAAGTCTGAATACATCAGTACCTGGTGTGCATTTCTGACAAGTTTAACCAGCATAATATCAAGATACGTCATGTTCAGGCATGCATTTTGTGATATAATCACGTCACAGTCAGAAACACACATGTGTCAAATGTGCAACTAAATATATAGCCACATAAAATATGTCTTTCTGCATTAATCCGATAAAATATTTAATCAACGAACTAAATAGATAGATTGTTTTGAAATTCACATTTCATAAGTCAAAACCCCTCACGCATGTTACACACATGTCCACCGCACTCTCACCCACAAGCTTGCATGAAGGACATTTGGTCATCACTTGGATGACACATGGCAATCTCCACCAATTTTAGTCAAGCCCATTTTGACCATAGTTCGCACTTGCAACCGAAGACCCATCCTCTCTTTATGATTTCTTTCAACCGTGGAAACTATCAAACTCGCATTCCTCTCTTCATCATACTACGCAACCAAAACCATTTCCAATTTTCTGCACTTCCTTCTCTTCCATTTTAAAACCGTGACAAGCACACACGCTTAGAAGGTCCTCATCATTCCATTGTGAACAGCCAAGTGCACCTCAAGGTCCTTTTGTTCCCTTTCAACCGAAGCTCATCTCCACCAATTTCTTCCTCTGAAAATCAATATACTTCAGATCCATCATTTATTTTTATAAATGAAAAATTTTCTAATTTCCAAAAAAAAAAAAAAAAAAAAAATTTCTTTCATTTCTATTTTTTTTTTTTAATTTTTTTTTTCTCCGTCCTTTTTTTATTTTTATTTTTTAGGACGGACCACCGTGGTCCGACCCATAAAAAATCTTTTCCCCTAATTCTGGCTCTGGCCTCGATACCTTTTAATCTTTCCTTTAATGAAGGTACGACCATTGACAAAGCACCATTTAATGTGCGGCTGCCATCATTGTATCTAGAAGATGGAAAAAATGGCAAGAGTGCAATAATTGTAATCTCACCACTTAACTTTATTGAATTTTACTTTTAAAATATTTTAATCATATAAGAAAGCATATTTAATGGTCATGTAATTATGAAATAATTGCAAATGGTCTTAATCCGTACATAGAAATAATTATATTAGGTTAATGGTTCAATCTCAAAATAATATATTAAATTATGAATATTATATCTAATATACAAAAGTGATTTAGTGGTCAACCTTTCTATCTTCAAATAAGATAACTCAAATTTGAATCTCCTTACTTGCAAAATAAATTTGAATCTCCTTACTTGCAAAATATATATATATATATATATATATGGGAAAAGTGTGTATAATTTTGAAGGATGTAAAGTTGTGTCATTTTAAGAGAGAGAAAGAGATAGATAAAGGAGGAGAGAGAGTTGACAAAAAAAATAAAGTTGTGGGTCCCACCTCTTTGTGAGAGTGAAAGGATGTAAGTTGTGTAATTTAAATGTATAGACACTTTTCCCTATATATATATATATATATATATGCTCAACTTAAATTGCAAAACATTGTCGTAAAACACTATATTTGACTAGTGATGAGAGATTTGGATTAAGTAATATTAGGTTATTTGTAGAACTCTCACTTTTATAAAAAAAATTACTTTACTTGAATTATTTAACCCCACACATATGCCAGACATTATTCTTCAGAAAATGATACCAAACAAATGTAAAAGGAAAAATAATAACAATAAAAATGATAAACTAATGCTCGTCAAAATCTTTATTTCAGGCTATAAAATCCTCACCGGTTACAAACATTGGAGAGATTGAACAGGCAAACATTGAGAGAATAAACTAAAGCATTTAAGAAAACTAACACAAAAAATGTTTGAAACATAAACGGTGAATTCTTCTCATAACTCTGAAGTTTCAATGCACATTACAAGGATTCAAGTCCTTGAGAAAAAAGAGCAGCAAAAGCTTCCATTTGACCCTTGTTCAATGCCAAACCAATCTCAATTCCTCCATTGTTATTCTTACTTTCAGAAAGAGAAAATGCTCCTGTTTTGTCTATTGAAGCAACATCAACCTTTTTAGGCCTTCCAAATCCAAAATCAATACTATAAACCTCAAACCGAGGAGACCCTGCAGTAGAGAATAATCTATCCCCTGATACAGATTGTATCTTTTGCATCCAATTTTTTGCATCATGTAGCACCCCATCATTCTCCACCCTATTCAACTCATCAATTATCCCCTTAAGAGCACTTATGAATCCATCATTTCCTAATACCTCCTCTGTCTCCACCACAACAGCGTGGGGTATAACACAATTTCCAATATATGTTGGCACAATTGGAGGGTCCAAGCGAGATCTACAATCCACAGAGAAAATAAAAGCTACCCTGTTGGATTTTGGTTGGTCTACTTTGACTACACACCCCAATAAATACGCACAAGTAACCGAAAATGATGATAACTTAACCTTCATTTTCAGCTTAGATAGTGCATATTGCTTAAGCTTTTGGATATGTGAAGGGGTTAACTCAAACAAACCTTTAACTGCATCTGTTTGTGCTGTGTTAATAGATTCCCACACCTTCAAACTTCGATTATTTGTTTCTCCACCATAAGTCAACCACCCGTTGACATAAGCATCATTGATCCCTGAAGGGTCTCTTATCACTGACCTATCAAAGAAAGGTGTCAGATTTTCAGGTAATGATGATCCTCCGAGGTTAGAACAAAGATGGGCCCATGATTTCAAAAACAAAGTTGAAGACTTTCCATCAAGTGCTGCATGGTGTGTGGTTATCCCAATACAAAAACCAAAGCTTGGGAAAACAGTGACTTGCAAGGCTAACACAGATGCTTGATCATGTGAAATTTTCAAGCGAGGGATTAAGGGGTGGCGTTCAACAACATCACAGAAATTTGAACATAAATGGTTGAAATCAGCGTTGGATTCAGCTATAGTGAAAGGGACAGCATCACCAGGGACATACTTGATGATGGGGTTGAGTGAATCATTTGGCCATGTGATGTTGCCAACAAGAGGAAGGAAGTGTTGGAGTGTGAGTGAAAGACTCTGTTTGAGATTGGGAAGAATAGAATCAAAGAATGAAGTAGTAGTTGTTGTTGTTGTTGTTTGGTTGTGGAACTCATAGAAGAAAAGACGTTCAACAGGAGGGAGTCTTATCCATAGGACATCATAGAAGGTTAAGGGCAGAGAGATTGGGGTTGTTTCTTGTGGTGGTGCCACAGAACAAACTTGATGAACTTTCAGAGATGTTGAATGTGCCATTGAAGGAGTAAGAGCGAATGGAACAACTGATATTTGCACAGTGCTCAGCACTTGTATATGTTTATGATTATTTTATACGAGAGATACACACACCTAGGTTTGTGTCGTTTGAAATGACCTAAACTCAAGTATATTCGCACACATAAGTTTGTGTGTTTTTAAAGGGAAATATTAGAATGGGAATGACAGCGACAAGCATCCAGCGACTTATCGTGAGGATACGGCGTAGTATCTTGATTTTGGTTTGATTTTTTTTTTTAAGTATGAGATCCATATTTGATTTATGTGTACAAAAAAATAGTCTTGTCATGTAACATGACAAAAAGTAAACCCATTTTTAAATCACATAAATTTAAGTGAGGAATAAACATAAAGAAATATTGGTTTTATTAAAAAAAATAAAGATAAAAAAATAAAAGTTTGAGTCTTGTATCTTTATATTTATCTCTTTTTTAAAAGATCTAAATTTATGTATTTTAAAATGACATATTTTTTTTTTTCATTTTATATTGATACAAAATAGAATGTTATACTTACAACTTTTTCTTACCGTCTCTTATAATTAATTTTATTATTGTCATATCAAAATTAAATAAATGACTCTCCTCCCTTACTATTAATCTGACATAAGTACAATAATATAAAAAAGTGATAAGTACAATCTATCCCTAAAATTATATTATACTATATAATTTTGATTGTCGTTGTTGTTAGTAGGAACGCATAACGATTTGGGAATATTCAAATCACGTTCAAGTGGGTTGAGACTAGCAATGGCTGTATTCTAACTTTTTAAGTTTCTACCTCATTGGGACACGAAACTCTAGGCGTATTTGGCAGTTTTGAAAGCAACGATTAACACCATGCCACTTGCCGAATTATAATGTAATATATAGTGAGATAATAATAACAAAGGGAAACAACTTAAGGATAACGCACAATGGGCTGAACATTTCTTTAAGGAGCCGTTTGCTACGAGGTTTTTTTTTTTTTTTTTGGCTGAATTTTCGAGAAATTAATTTTTTTTAAATTTTTAATTTTTGAATATTATAGTAAATTAAATGTGAAAATTATATTTTTAAAAATTGAGATTCCAAGACAAAAAGAAATTTTTCCTCTACCAAATGTCCCTTAAAAAAAAACAAGTGTACCGTTGTAGGAAGATTTTTATATGTTGTTATAGAGACATCGAATAGTGTGATTCAAATTTTTTTTTTGTTTTTTTTTTTAAACATGGACCCACCGTTAAATGTGTCTGCCGGAAAGAGAGCAAAAATCCTGCTCATAAACCCCTTTCTTTAATGCATTAATCATTGACTAAAAAAATTATTTATGAGCATTTAAAATATGGGTTCGTTTTTTATTATGTCACATGACAAGATTATTTTTCTGCACACACAAATCAATTGTAGGTCCCACGCTTAAAAAAAAATCAAACCAAAATCAGGATACTGCGCCGTATCCTCAAGATACGTTGCTGGATCCTTGTTGCAGGAATGAACAGTATCATTCCTACAACGTGATTTTTATATTTCCCTTAAAATATATACATGCACCTACAGTTTAGGTGAATTGCATGTAGATCCGGAGCTCATAAAAGAAAACAAATTAAATGATAGGTAACTTATGTATTGAAGCAATCAGTTTTTTCATTTAAATTTGCAGGCTAAACGACAACACTAATCCTCTTCAAAACCCTCGTCTTGATACTCGCCATATTTTATCTTTATATTCAAAAGATTAAAAGCATTTAACAAAGTTTAATTCAAATAATTTCTATTTATATAGAAACATATTTATTTATTTATTTTGAGGACAGTATCAAGCTGGGAACAAACTACCATTGGCTTAGTACCAGTTGTCGTATTCAGGATTTGAAGTTGAGCAACCATCAGGCTCGTTAATTCCCATCAGGGTGCACTCCTTAAAATTTTAAATTTTTCCTTTCTCAAATTAGCATTAAGATAAACAATGAATGAATATTAACTAATATAAAAAAGTATTAAACAAAAAAATCAAATACTTTAAAAAATTATTTTCTTTATTTATGAAATTATATTTTATTAGATTATATTAATTTTTTTTTATTATTTCTATTTGTCATATCTTAACATTCTAATTTTCTTGTATGTACACCAAGAAAAATCTAGCTTATTTTCGAAAAATAACATAAACTAAAACTAAGCCTACTAATAACATTTAATCAAATAAGCAACTCATTATTTCTAAATTTGGGCCTAATTTTAATTTCTTAAAACAATGACCAATACATGATGAATTGCCATGTAAAAACCCAACTTAGATAAAGAACAAAAGGAAGAAAAACCATTTGGGCCGTTCTACTATTGGCCCGCAAAGCATGCATCAGAATTAACAAAAGCATAACACAACAGATTCAGTTTCAGGCGTCCTTTATTGCTCATAACCCAACTCCCAATTGAAGATTATATAATTTTCACGAATAAGCATCGAGACTCAAAATAAGGTGCTGTTCCCCCTGGTCCCGTTTGTTCTTTTTTTTAATCATCACACTAATCTTGTTAGAAGTGAACAATCACACACACAATAGCAAAAAAGAAAAGAAGATAAAAAATAACCAATCTATATTGGGGCAAGATATTCTTACACTGGTGTAAGAGTTAGAAGTCTTACACTCAATCTTGATCATTGATTCACTTGTATCAAATGGCTCACATTACTAAAAAATTTGAACCCTTAGATATAAGTGAGATTAATGGACAAGATTAAGAGTGTAACTTACACTGGTGTAAAATGATCCTGACCCATATATATTTCTCGGAAAACATAAATATATTCTCGGGTTCACGTAATGTGAATTATATCAAGTAATATTTTACTATATTCTCCTCAATTCCATTGACTTTCTCTATATTTGGCAAAGAAGAGTAGTCATCTAGATGCAAATAATGAGTTATAACTAACAAATATCACATCAAATAAAAAAAAAATTCTGCGTGAGAACTATAGAAATTTCTTGGAAAGCATGCATACATGTGAACAATGACAGAGTACTAATTAAACTGGAATTAACTGATCAAAACGTAAGTTCTCATTTCAATGATACAATAAAATACTAGTATACAATAGTTTAGTGTAGGTCACAAAAGTATCAGAAATCATACACATGCCAAGTTTCTAAGGCAGTGTTGTTTGAAAATAATATATTGTTTTTTTCACGAAACAGTTTACGAAATATACCATTCGCCTGTTCTCTTAATTGTACAGAAAAAATGAAATAAAGTTAAGAGGGGTGTTAAAGTTCGTGTGCCATTTACGAAATTGAATTCATAGGATTTAAGCATCTCTGAATATCTAAAGCCTTTATTTCTAATTCATAAACTAAAGGCATGGAGTAATGTGAAAAACTGAGAATCCACCAAAAATTTATTATCATTATCACGCGCGCAGTTTGAGCGGTTCTAGGTAGTTATTAAAAGAAATGGTATCACAATTAAGTTCACTAGTTATGTGCATAGATGTCTTCCATTTGCGTATCCATAAACTATATAGTATTTTCGGTCTGATTGTTTTGTATTATTTTTTTCTGTTTGGTTCCAGTTGAATTAACCAACAACGTAATAGGTTGAATCAATTAAATTATAACCTAAAAATATTTCTAATTTGATCTCTGCCTCAATTTTTAAAATATTAAACTTGAATATACAATAAGATTGTGTATAAGCGCGTTAGTTTCAACGATAAAATTAAATTAAACACTTTTATGAATTTTCTATATTTTTCGATACATGAGCACCTCTTTTTTCATCATTAAAATAAAGTTCAAAAGCTCTAAAAAGAAAGTTTTTATAATGCACTGTATCAATTTTTGTTAGATTTTGACTAAATGCGTTAAATTCAAGTGTTGGGGGTTTAATATTAACAAAAATTCTCAGATAAATTATTTGTGATATATTTATATTTCAAAGGAAAGAGTATATTTACCTTTTTATAAATCATAAATGAAATTGAGACCATCATCGTTTTATATAAGTTATATATATTAGTATAAGGGGCATGTTATATTTACAAACTTTTACAAACTACACTAAGTACGACCGGTCATATTTTAATTATGCAGTGTACGACCGGTCGTACTTAGTGTAATTTGCAAAAAGAGTTTGTAAACGAATCTTATCCCTTAGTATAAAAATAAGAAATTTTACACTCATTCTTAACAATTTATTCATTTGTATTTAACAACTCACTTATTGATAAATTAAAATCTTTATGTATCAAGAGGAACAATAATGTTGTAAGTGTAGACGTAAAATTATCATGTCATTTACCTCCAAAAAGAAAAAGAAAATAAAAATTATCATGTCCTATTAGAGTTTAATTGGGTTGATTCTATCACTCATGAGTCCATTTTGAATAAGACCTAGGAATACGAAAGATTCAGAGGCATTTGGGCCTGAACTACGCCTAACAAAATGTCTTTCATTTTGTCATTTCTTTTATTTGTTAACCTTCATTTTAAGTGAATTTACAAGCTCTTTACGTCTTTTAAGTGTATATACGAACTCAATACACATATATAGGGATAAACATTTCTAAAGTAACTTTAAATAAGATTATCTATAGTTACCCTTTATAACTATGTACTACCGGTATATAGTATATAGTTATAACATTAAAATTATTTTTTTTCCTCTCTACTCGGTCACTTTTCAGAACCAATCTGCTAACGTGAAGAGAAAAAAAATAATTTTAATGTTATAACTATGTCCTACCAGTAATGCAAAGTTATAAAGGGTAGCTGCAGATAATCTTGTCTAAAGTTGCTATAGAAATGATTTTTTCATATATATATATATATATATATATATATATATATATATATATATACTATGAAGCACCGACACTTCAAAAATCCTGACGTGTCGTGTCTGACACTTCTCGACACTCCGACACTCCAATACTCGTTGTAAAGACTCAAAAAAGGTTCAAAAGTTACGTTGCATTGCATTTTGAGTTTTAAC